GCTCATAGTTTGTTAAATTTATTCCCAGATACCTTTGGTTTTTACAACTGTTTTTAATGTGATATGTTTTCTTTTATGTATTCTAATTATTATCACAGGAGCATGATTAATGTTACATATTCATCTTGTATCAGCAGCCTTGATAAAATAGTTATTTCAGATTGGTTATTTATTGGTTCTTTTAGAATTTCTATGTAAAAATCATATCATCTCCTGATGATAATTTTATCTTTTTCTTCCTAATCCTTAATGCCTTTCTTGTCTTATTACTTAGACCTTCAGTACAATGTAAAATTGAAGTAAGGATACATAATTTACCTTGTTTATAATATTACTGAAATGCATGTGAAGTTCCATCATAAAATATGATGTTTACTATAGGTTAAAGAATTTCCTTTCTAGCTCTAGTATTCTGTTGAAGTTCTCTGTTGCTGAGTAACACATTGCTTAATAGTTTAATGGCTTTCAACAATAAACATTCATTATCTCATGTTTTCTTTGGATCAGGAATGGAAGAGCAGCTTAGCAGGGTGGTATTGGTTCATGATTTTTCAAGTCAAGATGTCATCTGGAGCTGCATTCATCTGAAGGTCTTCTGGTACTGCTTTCAGGGGGCTCACTTCCATGCCTGGCAGGATAGTGTTGTTTGTTGGCAGGAGACTTCAGTTTCTTCTCATGTGAACTTCTTCTTAGGGATGCTTGAGTGTCCTTCTGACATGGCACTGGCTTTCCCCAGAGTGTGTGATCTGAGAGAGAGAGAGCTAGGAGGAAGCCATAGAGTGTGTTATGATCTAGTCTTTAAAGGCACTCGCTGTCACTGTGACCACATTCTACTGGTTAGAACCAAATCACTAAGTCCAGAGCACACTCTAGGAGGGAAATTAAACTCCACAAAAATTACTTTGTGTATTGATTTATTTTCAGTCTGTCTGCCCCTACAAACTTGCCCCAACTGAGGGCTTTTCTGTCTGTGTATATTTACAGATAAACTTAGCACTAAGGTTAGGATTTATGGGTGCACTGTTGTCATCAATAATGTTGTCTTTGTGACAGTGCTTTTGCTGTGGTGAAGATTGGAACTGTCAGTCTTCTCCTGGAAGAGTGGGAAATTGCTTAGGTGAAGCAACACCAGTAGTCTCTGGAAAATGTGGAACATTCTTTCTTCAGACTTCTTTTGTTTTCTAAACCTTATTAAAGTTCCTTGGGTTTCGTGTAAAATTTCTTTCCACTACCCCCCAAAAGGCTAGTCTTTTTGAAAGAGGAGACCATGTTAATAGTAGTTATACTCTCAATATGGGCCAAAAATGACTTATGACTAGTACAGGATTTTTAATAATACATTAGTAATTTTGCATGAGAACAATTTTTTATAAAGAAACTACTGTAGCCCTTTTACCTTGAGAAAAAAACTTCAAAAGATAATTTTAAAAGTCTGATTTTGTGATGTATTAATTTTTTCTAGTAATGGAAAACATTATGTCAAAAATATAAAATTGATTTTGAATTTCTTGGATCAAATAGTGAAGTCTGAAGATATTTTTGCTATATATCTTTAGAGTTTTGATGTCCTGTAATCTCTCAAAGGACCACAATTTGTTGTTGGACAGGTCTCTTCAGCTCTGATGCTCTCTTTTCCACCTGCTAATTTGTTTTTTTCCACTGAGTTTTGTTTGTCTTTTGGACTTGGTTCTTCTTGTATTCTTAATTTCTTTTCTTTCTTTATTTCCTTCTTTCTTTTTTTTTTTTTTTTTTTGTTGGAGTCTCACTCTGTCATCCAGGCTGGAGTACAGTGGCATACTCACAACCACCCCAGCGTTGACCTGCTGGGCTCTGACGGTCATTCTGCCCTCAGCTTCCAAGTAGCCAGAGCTACAGGTGCATGCTTTCACACCTGGCTAATTTTTTTTATTTTTTTTTATTTTTTACTTATTGTAGAGACAAGGTCTTGCCAAGTTGCCCAGACTGGTCTCAAAACCACAGGCTCAGGCAGTCCATTTGCCTTGGCCTTCCAGAGTGCTGGGATTATAGGCTAAAACACCAAGCCCGGCCATTTTCTTAATTTCAAGGATGGTGAAGGATATACAAAAACTTAATAAATGGGGAATAAAGGAATAACTTTACAGTAATGATGAGAATAACAGTAGAAGTTGTTTCATTAAATATACTGTACTAGTTTTCCATAAACAAAATGCAAATAATACTGGCTTACTTATTACATATGAAAATTAGAATCTTACCTGCATGGTTGTTGCAAATAATTTTTTAAACGACTCTTTAGAAAGAAAAATTATCTGCCAGATTTAAAGAAACATTTTCCCATTCTTTTATACCATATATATTTGATGGTAGTGACAAGCATTTGTGGCAACACACATGTTTCTTTATCTTCAATTTTTAAAAATCATATCACCAGCTTTATTTTTTCTTTAATATAAACAACAGAGTAAAAAATATTAAATTCCTTATATGTTATTTACACGTCACCAGATTTCTTCCTGATACAGTTACGCTGTTTTAAATGACTCTCAGAGAAATAAATTTTTTAATAATTTCTAATACATTTAATTAAACTGTGTCCTCTGGTTTTGAAGTAGCTAGCCAAAATGCAAGGTACACTTGACAAGTGGGAAGACAGGTTCAAGTAGTTTCTCTTGTGCCATTCCATTCTTTTATTTCCTTCTTCATTTAGAGGGTTTATTCTGAAACTATAGAGAGAAGCAGGGTTTCTACAGTCTCATTCCCTCACAGGGGAACAGTAATAGAAAACTCAAATTAACCAATGACCTTGTCCTAAGAACCAAACCCTATGGACGTTCTGTCCTTCTCTGTTATCTTTCTCAGTCTCATAGAGGATCTTACTTTGTTTATCTGTGCTCCTTCCACTAAACTCCCCTGTCTCCTAGGACCCAACTTTCCCCTTATATCTTGTGCCTCTCTTCAAGGTATCTGTCTTCTGTGATCTGTGGAAAGATGTGTTTTCTGAAGTTCTAACCACCTTTTTTCTGTCTTCTTCCTAGGCCATCTTGATCCTTCTGCTGACTCCAGCTACTTCTTGTATACAAATGCTTAACAAACCTACCTTTTCACGTCTGACCCAGTTACCCACCTGACTGCCTGTGAACATGTTAACATCAGGTCCCTCACGTTCGGTGTGAGCTAAATCAGACTTTTGATTTAGTCCTTCTTTCCTTTCATTGTTACTTTATCATCATCCATCTAGTCACCCAGACCTGAAACTGGGAATTGTTTTTTGCCTCTCCTTTCTCTTCCTTTTCTCCCATATACCTTCAATTTTAAAAACAAATTGTGCCCCCTTGCAAAAATTAAATAGGAGTGGATGCAGAGTTACAAAGATTCATATTTAAGTAATCTGTAGGCATTTTTAAAATTAGATTTTAGAGACCATAAAGCCACATTTGATATTGCAATAGCAAGCAGAGTGCTTTGCCAGTGACCAGAAGAGGTAGTTTTTCACATGAAGTAGCTCAAAATATAAATGTATATATCCATATATGTATATTCGCAGGTGAGAAGTCTTGTTCCATGTCTGTGCACTATTGTGCTTTAGGCTCTTCCCTCTCCTCAGTTACCATAGTTACCAGTAGTTGTTCACTGCACGTGACACAGTACCAGGTATTGAGTAAGCATGATTTTAAGGTAAGAATATGAAAGTGGCATCCTTGTTCTCACCTTGCAGTCAGGGAGTGCTGGTTTGATACAAGGAGGAATATAGGCACGAGATCCAAGTCCCCAGAGAGATGGATATAAATATTCTTACTTTACATTTGTAAGTATCACTTAGTATTTTTGCAGTTTGCTCTCTGGCAGCCTTGTGAAGCAGGCAAGAACTACTGTGTTTGTTTCACAGGTAAACTCACTGGCCTGCCCTGAACTGTTCAGGTAAATGCGTCTCTGCTGGCCCTGTGGAAAATGTTACATACAGTTGCCCTAGTAAGAAGCTGTCACACTGCCCATCATCCCAGTCCTTAATAGCATCTGCTTACATGGCTCTCTGTGTGGGTACACTTGTGAAGCATTTGTTTCCACAGTCCACCTCATTGGAAGGCACTTGGCATGTGTCTCCCTGATCAGCAGGACGATTCCTTACCCTCTGAACTCCTGCAGGCTGCTCCATCATGCTCCAAGATGAACTCCTTGTGTTCAACAAACCTTTCTAGTCAAACTATCCCAATTGACTTTCCAGATTTGGTGGCAGTCATTTTCTCATCATATTCTAGCAGAGTAAAGAGAGGTAGCAGGGTGGGAAATAGAAACTAAAAATCAGAGCTGTCTATTAAAATTGTTGTCAGAAGCAAGAGTAGACCTCAGATCGAATGATAAACTTGTTTTTTTCCATTATCCACGAATCTGTTTCTTGAATGATTAGTGACTTGCATTTTTAGAATGGAATTCAGTGGGAAACAGGGACAAGAGTTAGCTCAGCTGTACTACAGGCTATGAAGAGTGCTCATGTTAATTCTTGGGCCTGGGCACTGAATGTGTACAGTTGAAATGCACTGGACTCGTTGGCTGCTTAAACTTCTGTGGCAATTGATAGCTTTTGCCTTAGCACTTAATATATGACAGTTGATTAGAAAGGTGGTGAAGTCCCATATGCTTTGTGGATGTGAAATAGTAGCTCACTGTAATTTTAATTTGCATTTTCTAGTTTCAGGGAGTTGAGCACTTTTCTACACATTTATTGACTGTTTAGGTTTCCTTTCTGCAAAGTGCCTGTTTACATCCTGTACCTGTTTTCCTGTTATATTGTTGTATATTGATTTGTAGGAGTTATTTGTCTATTCTTGATACTATTACTTTTCATATATTTTACAAGTATCTTTCCAAGTTTGATTTTCAAGCTTAGTCTTCATGGTAAAATTTCACATTATGAATGAAGTTGATAATTTATGGTATTTAATATTCATAATATAGATTAATTTTACAATTTACTTTTTAGGTTCTGAATTTTTTATTTTTATTCCTTTTTTTCTATATAGGGTATGAACGCGATTTCTGATGAAACTGAATTGGAATAATTTTCATGATCTTTGTATATTTATATATATATATTTTGAAATTTTGCATTTGACTTAAAGTGCCATGAGAAAATTTGCTTATTGCAAGGTGGTCCTAGCCACCTCCTTGATTTGGGTACTCTTGGATATGTTCCTGCTGCTTTACTTCAGTGAATGCAACAAATGTGATGAAAAAAAGGAGAGAGGACTACCTGCTGGGGATGGTGAGTGGCATTTTTATAATTCAACTGTTTGGATAAGTTTTGTTTTTACTAATTTGGAAATTATAAAATTTTAACTTTTTTAGGTTAATAGTAATCACTGGCTTCCTGTAGTATGTATGATGATCGTATTTACAGTTATCTTGTAGATTCTTCCAACAGTTAAAAGTATCAAAGTATCATGTATAGAATTGCCAAATTCAGTTTTTGTGTTCAGTGTTATATGTTGTCAATTTTCTACAAGTTATTTTATGTTACCAAACAATGTGAGAATCTCATAGTTGGAGGAATTGAAATTGCACAGAAGATCTTTCTAATGTCATCATGCTGAGTGGAGCATAAAACTTGCAGCTGTCATCAGCCATCAAAAGAGACTGCTCCTGCCCTCCCATCCAGTTGGAAGGGGAAGAAGTCTTTATAGATGGATGTGATCTGGAGAGTTCTTTTTGTTAATGCTGTAGGTAGCTCCATTTAGCACTTTTAGGGACTGCAGTGAGGTAATTGCAATATCTGGTATGGAAAACAAAAAACACATATGAGTATAAAGGATCTAGGTAGGTAATAATGATGTTTTGGGCAGGGTTCATTGAAAAATTCAACAAACAAAATTTTATTCTTTTTTAACCATGACGAAAATTACTGCGTTGAGAGAGTCAGGAATCCAGCTGCTCTGGGCTTTGAACTCTCTGTGATTAGTTATAGAATACATGACTGAACAGCAATTCCACATTTCTAGGAATTATATACAGATAGCTCCTCTTTCAGTATAAGTATTCTTTGAATATTTAGCCATATTTAAATTTTTCACACTTTCATAATGAGAAGGGCACTTAATTCTCCCAAATTTGCAGTAGGAAAACCACTGATTGTATTGGTTACTTTGCTTACAGTACTGTAATTTTCATATATGAGCTTAAATAGCCAGTTCTGTTTATTTCTTCTCAGAAAATTTGTCTAAAATTAGGCTCAGTTGCTAGCACTGGATTCTCGTAATACCTGTTCTAACTCCTAACTTTTAAGTTTTCATATTCCTGAAGTTTTAATAAAATACTTTTTTATTCTAAGTCAGCCTATTGATTTGCATAAGTTTACTTTATGGCTCTGCTGTTTAGTAACTTTGTTAAGTAACAAAATGCTGCCTCCTCAGCTGTTGCTGGAGTTTTGCTTGGTGTCTGCATTTAAATCAAAGAACAGTCAGAATCTTGGGTATTCTTTTCCCCAGTAGAATGGATGAACTTTCCCCTCACCCTAACTTAATTCGTTGCCATTTATAGTAAGCTCATAATGTTTTATCTTAAATGTGAAGACTTGAAAGTAAGAAGGATTAGGACCTGCAGCATGTGAAGATTCACTTGGTGAATTTTTGTTTTGCTTTGTTTTGTTTGCCTCTGCTACGTGCTGGCTAACATACTAGGTGCTGATGATACAAAGTTGAACAGAAAGCTAAGACAAAATTCCTTCCTTCAGGGAACTCACAGTCTAATAATGGGAGAGAAAGAACAATAGTTCTTATAAATAAATATCACTCTGGAGATATGCACAAGAGCAGAAAGGAAGCCACGCCCTAGGTGTCTGAGAAGGTGCAGTAGGGAAGTGTGCTTCAGCTGAGTATCCGCTCAAACAACTGTTTGTTAGGTATGATGGGACAGGGGAAGACCTTCCAAGCAAAGGAGAGAAGCATGTGCAAGAAAACTCAGTGAGAGAACAGAGCAGATGGGTAGGAGAACAAGAGCTAGGAGGAATCTTGAGAAGCTGGTGGGGCCATATCTCAGAAGGCCTTGTGCGGCCTGCTAAGAATTTTGGACTTCATCCTTTGGGCAGTGGCATGCCATTGAAGGGTATGAAACAAGGGAGTAAGGCCTGATCGGACCTGAATTTTTAGAAGAAAGCTTTGTTGGTCATGTGGCTGATGGATTAGAAGAGAAAGATGGGTGGCAGAGGCCAATTTAGGGCTGTTGTGAAAGTCTGAAAAAGCACTTGGGTCCTGTACTAGAATGACACTGGAGGTGGAGTGGTAATGAAAAAAAATACATATACATATATATAGTGGAATTTATATTACCTGGGGAACCTTTGAATGGAGGATAAGAGAAAAGTCTCTGGTAGCTCCCAGGTCTTCCGGGTTGAATGAATCTCTGTGAGATAGGGACCCACAGCAGAAGAGCAGCTTCAGTGAAAAGGTGGGTGCATGAAGTTGGATTTGGAATATTTCACTCTGAAATGCTGGTAGTGATGTTCTGTGGTAGAGAGTCATCAGACTGGAGTACACAGGTGGTAGTTTAAGCCTTGCCTATGCATGAAGCTGTACAAGGAGCATGTGCAGAAATAGAGGAGAGGAGACCGACTTGCTGTTGGAGAGACCATCCAGGAGGGTCACTGAAGGAGCAGAAGGCTTTTCAGGAAGTCAGGGTGGAAGGAGGAGGCAGAGGGAGTGGGTCATAGAAACTCAAGAATGTTCATTCAAAGATTTCACCTCGGGTGAGTTGTTTCTAATCCATTCAGTATGGGATCCTTTCTTGTGACTGTGGAGTGGTAATTCTGGAGATCTGTGTATTCGATGTACTGGCGGCTCATTCTTTAGGAGGCTTCGGCACTAAGAGAAGAAGGTAGTACAATACATAAAGGAAGGGATGGAGCCAAGGTTGGTTTTCTATGCGTGTGTTATTTCTGTATGTCGGGGAAGAGGTTTACAACTTAGGGGAAAGGAGGAATACCTAAGAACAAATTCTCTTCCGATTAGACAGTGGTATCAAAGCTGTAAGAAAAGGATTTCCTCAAAAGAGGATTCTAAGGTTAATACAGTTTTGAAAATCACTAGTGGTGTAAGTTTCAAAGAGAAGGAGTAGGTTCTGTGCAAAGTAAAAAAGGACAGTGTAAAGGAGAAATGGTTTGAAAGTAAACATGTGGAGGTGTGAGGTGGCATTATTGCCTTTGGATAAAGGAGGATGAACAGTTCTCCCAGAAAGAGTCGTGAGGTGAGTGGGCTCTGGAGGAGAGCTGGATTTGGGTTAAGCCTGTAGACAGCCATGTGTTTTGAGGACCAGACAGTGAAGAGGCTTTGCAACAACAGCCTCAGGGTGTTGGGCTGTTAAGGGAGACAGATGGGGAAGGATGTCCACAGTGGGAGGATGAGAGAAGGGCTGAGCAGTCAGTGAGAAGAGGGTACACAGCCAAGGGGAGACGACCTCAGACAGGGTGCTTTAGGGCAGCTGGTGGTTTCAGACTGTTTCTGTATCCCTAAGGGGAAAATGGTTAGGGGAAGAGGACAGTTGAAGCTTATGAGCAAGCGCTGTCAGAAAGTCTGCTGGGATGTGAAGTCACAGGGCCATGGTTGCTGAGTGGTCCCAAGTCTTGTCATAACCCGCAGTTGTTAAGATTCTGCTGGTGACAAATGACTGTGGTGCCTCAGAAGAGAGGGAGTACTCTACACTACTACAGTGTTTAGGGGAGGGAAACTGGGTAATGGCACAAGGATGCTGACTTTTTTAGCGGAATTAGCATGTGCATTCCTTGACCTGCAGGCCAAGTTCAGTGGCTCATGCCTGTAATCCCAGCACTTGGGGAGGCTGAGGCAGAAGGATTGCTTGAGCCTAGGAGTTTGAGGCTAGCCTGGGCAACATAGTGAGACTTCATCTCTACAAAAAACATTAAAAAATTAGCTAGTTGAGGTGGCGTGTGCCTGTAGTCCTAGCTACTTGGGAGGCTGAGGCTGAACGATCACGTCTAAACCCATCAAGGCTGCAGTGAGCCATGATCTGCCACTGCACTCCAGCCTGGACAACAGAGTGAGACCTCAACTCAAAAGAAAAAAAAAAAGGTCAAAAAAAAAAGTTGAGCAGATATGACACTTCAGGGTAATTATTTAATATTGTAAGGATCTTATTTCTGTACATTTTACTTTACAGTGCTGGTTGAAATTTACCAAATTCTGTTCTTTGTATTGTGAGTAAAGGTGACCCAGGTTTAAGTAGAATGGATTGATTTCCTTATGATAATGCTGAAGGCCTTTTACAGGATTATTGTTGATATGCTCTACCTAATGGTTTTCTAGAGTTTTTCTCTTGGCTTGTAACTTGCCCACTTCAGGTAATACTGGGCCAGTCTTTGGTGATTTCAGAAGGGTTTGTCTTGTTTTTTTTACACTTTTATACTTGTATTTTATGCCCCAGTCTCTTTAGTAAAATGCTTCTGTTGCTAGAGAGTTAGATTGAGCTCCCTTGAAAAAACAAAGGTAGTGTGAGTTACAACCGGGGAATATTTTTACTACTCTTCTGCTTTCCAGAATTAACTTATTCAGCTTATGGTTTTGGATGTTGTATAGAATATTCAGTAGTTTTACAGATGCAATTTTCAAATAGGAATTGATCTTTCATGCCAGCACTGTATTTGATTTTCAAATTATTAAAATGTTAATGACTTGAATTATTTTATCATCAAGCACTAGGAAGCCTCGGAGCACAGTTTATAGAGAAAACTTCTGATTAAAACTTAAAACACATTACTAGTAAAGGCTTTCAGATACTATTACCATTTTTTAAGTGTTATGTTTCATATATGGAACACAATAGTAAATTGAACATGAAATTGGCACGAGGGTTGAAACTGATGAGGATGTTGAAGTAGCAGAGAGTTCCCAGTGAATTAAGCTATAGACAGTATTTTGATGTTTGAAAAATGAGGTAATGTGCTGCATTTCATTGTATCTTAGGTACCTGTGTTTATAGAATGCATATCTGATATACCACTATGAAACCAAAAATATTTCAGTTATCATTGAAAGCCACGTCCCAATTTCAGAGATGTTAAAATGTGAAATGAAGTATTTTGGAATAGTGAAATATAGAGCATGAAGACAGTAAAGATGGTAATTGTGTAGTAAGATCAGAAAATAGTTTAGGAGAAATTCTTTTTGCATTTTATTAGTCTTTTCCCCCCAGAGAGAGCTGTATAACTTTCTACCTCTTTAATTCTACTTTCATGATACAAATACACATAAGAAATTTGAAAGATATCTTAAAGTACAGAGGCATGTAATGTAGTTTGTCTATGATAATCTTATTTGGGGGCTTTCAGAGTGAACCTGTAGTTTATTTTGTAAATAGATTTTCTAAAACATGATGCTTATCAACATTGTTATGTAAATGAAGCCTAACTGGAGTATATATGTTTGCTCTCATGTAATATGTTTGAACAATGCTTTTGTCACTCCTTGTCAAAATTGACTTGATTCTTAGAAATTACCTGCATGTACAGTTTTATACAAGGAATTTTTTTCAGTTCATGAAATGACATCCAAACTCATTTCAGTTGTTTTCAAACAAAACTTTAACTAAACTCACTTTAATTTACATAAAAGACATGCCAGTACAATACATGGGAAGTTAACACTTACTATCTTTGTTAGTTACTTTCTAATACTGTAAGTATGTTAGCAGTAAAAGTATATTTACTGACCACATGCATTTCATCAAAGCCTCTTTGCCAAGGAAAATTAGTCCATCTAATTCTTCAGGATATTTTAATTGCTTACTTAGAATATTCTGGTGGATTCTATAAGTCATGCAATAGTCATGTAACTTTTGGTTAATGGTAATTTAAAATGTGGCCCTGAAATTTCATATGTGCCAACAAGTTAGAGTATATAATGTGAACACTATACTTGATTTTCAGATTATTAATAAATAAGCAAGTGATGAAGTTTGTAAAATATTGCATCAGCAGGATTGTATGTGTTGTACATTTTTTGCCTGGTTCTTTACGATCTCAAGACCAAGTTTCTGATCCTGTAGTTTCTTATGCTATAAGTAAACAAGTTTATACTTTGTAGTGCTTATAGTAATTTATTGAGCCCTTCTTCATGTCCCTCCTATCCCATGGAAAATTCCAAACATAAACAAAAGTGGAACGAATAGGTAATTAAACTCTCATATTCCCATCATCCAGCTTCGAGAGTTGTCAACTTTTGGCTAGCCTGGTGGCATGGATGCCTCTTTTTCTTTGGCCCCCCCCCACTTGTTTTAGTTGTCATTGAAAAAGAAGAAATGGAGTTATTTCTCTTTTTCGGTTTCCCACAGTCACAATTTTCATATTTTTAATGGTGTTTATCATGTTCCTCTGTCCCCCATATTTCCTGTGAATCGGTAGTTAGCGCCAAAGGCTTGATCAGATTCAGATCTTTTTTCTCCCCAGCAAAAACACATTACAGGTAGTACATGTAAGATATGTAAAACATAATGCTCTAGTTAAAAAACTAAAACACTTTTTTTTTAGTTAAAAAGCTAAAACAAGCTGGGCTCGGTGGCTCAGCCTGTAATCCCGCGCCTTTGGGAGGCTGAGGTGAGTGGATTGCCTGAGCCCACGGGTTCGAGACCCGCCTGGGCAACTTGGCGAGACCTCATCTCTACATAAATCAAAAACTAGCCAGCTACTCGGAAGGCTGAGGCGGAAGGATCGCCGGAGCCCAGCAGGTCGAGGCTGCGGTGGCCGGGAGTGGCCACTGCACTCCAGTCTGGGTGACAGAGTGAGACTCCAACTCAAAAAAAAAAAAAAAAGCTACAACACTTTCATGTTTCCATTTTAATTTTTCTATAAAGCATAATCTTATACTGAAATAGGGCACAAATAACAGAAGGATATTTATAATCAGGTCCACTAGATGTCTCCCACCTACTGTTATGTTATCTGTGCCATACACAAAAGATCATTGTCACCTTCAGAACTCTGCTGCTTCCTGTGGACTCCTGAATTTATCAGTCCCCAAATCTACTGATTGTTCTTTATTTTCAGAGGTAGGTAATAAGTTGAAATGACTCTGAGAGTTTTATAATTTATTATTTTTAAAGCTTACCTTATATGGGGGCATTATACTTCTGTACTTATTTTACAGTTCTTTTATTTATTTAGAGTCAGAGTTTCACTGTCACCCAGTTTGGAGTACAGTGGCACACTCATGGCTACTGCAGCCTCAATCTGCTGGGCTCAGGTGATCCTTCTGCCTCAGCCTTCCAAATAGCTGGAACTATAGCCACTTCTCCATCATGTCCAGCTAATTTTTTTATTTATTGTAGGGACAAGATGTTGCCGAGTTGCCTAGGCTGGTCTTGAACTCCTAAATTCAGGCAGTCCTCTCACCTCTGCCTCCTAAAGTGCTGGGATTACAGGCATGAGCCACCACACCCGGCTTGTATTACAGTTCTTATTACACTTGTTGAGAAGTTTTGTCATTGAGAATTTTTCTAAAACTCTGCCAACCCTTATATTTAAAGAGCTTACAGACTTGGCATACATTGAGCAGGATTTTTTTAAAAAACTGTGTTACTAGTGTTTCCTATAATTCTTAAAGTTATTTCCTACTATTTTAGTGTCTTTTTTAAGAATAAGGGGAAATTATTGTACACTATTTTTTTCTTCATAGCTCTCTGAAATTGTTTTTTATATAGTGGACAGAGTTGTGAGGACACAGTGAATAATTTCATATTCTGCAGCTCTGGTATTGGTAGGCTGCTCTTTGCACCCGGCTGAAACCATCATCCTCCAGGTCACCTTTACCAGCTGGTGCTGCTGGGGGAAGGGGAAACCTGACAAAAGAGAGATGGCTTTGATACTGCCTTGCTGTCGCCATTTCTGCATAGAAATGTTTTGAGGATAACTAAAAACAATCTACGGGGGAATAAAACTTTCAGCTTTAAAAATAAGCAAGTAATGCACAAAATATATTTTCATCCCACTTTTTGCCTCACCTCATTCTCTATGCAACTAAAAGATGAGAAGTTTAACACAACGTTTTCCAAATATAATATATACTTAACCTGTGTTCCTTGGAATACGTATTAACATCTCTGAAGTACATAAAAAGGAACAAAGTTTGGGAAGTGCTGATCTGGCATTTTACTGTTTTATGTATGTATCAAGAGATAACAATACATTTTATTATAATTATCTTTCATGATGCTATAAGTAATCATGAAACTTATTATAATGTCTTCTATTGTCAAGTCCAGGATTTTCATCTTGACTTATTTTGAATCACATTTTTACTCACATGTTAATTCAGTGTATAGTTATAAAACTCGCATAAAGGCACTATGCCAAGTTCTACAGAAGGTACTTGAATGAATCAAACAAACCCCAGCCAAGAAGAGATTGTAATCTAGTGGAAGGGGACACATAAGACAGGTTTAACAAGCATTATAATAAGAGACAGCAATTGATTATAGAGATATGAGAACCCTAGATGAAATGATGTGATAGTCAAGAGTAGTAAACAATTACTATAGAGAGATTCAGGAAGGTGGTAGGCAGGAGAAGCCAGTTTAGTTGGGCCTGAAAAGACAAATAGGGGTTTACTGTTGTAGAGAAAGGCATGGGAAGGAGACGTGGTAGGGGAGACTGTGAGCAAAGGCATGGAAGCAAAAGAACGGGAGGCTCATTGGGAGAAAGGATGAGTGGCTAGGCTATTTGATTGGAAGATGAAGTCCTACAGGATGGGGGAAGAAGGCCTGGCAGGTGACAGGTTTGGAAAGTTAGGTTAAATTCCATCTTAAAGAAGCTGGACTCCCAGGGACGGTGGGAATAACAATGAAGCCTGTGCTTCAGGGAGACTAGTGTGACAGTAGTATTTGAGATGGGAGCTAGCACTATGCAGTGACTCAAGTGTGTGGGGCAAGGTGAGGAGGTCCTGAGTCGGGACACTGGTGTGGAGGCGTTAAGAGTCTGGGAGAGACAGGGCTCAGAAATGACTCTGGTTTTTGAAGGCACAGTTTAAACTTCAGTGTTGTTAAACAGAAACAACATTGCTATGAAATGAATGCATAAGTTAAGTTTCCTCCTTGTTCTTAGTTTTAGAGCCAGTACAAAAGCCTCACGAAGGTCCTGGAGAAATGGGGAAGCCAGTCGTCATTCCTAAAGAGGATCAAGACAAGATGAAAGAGATGTTTAAAATCAATCAGTTCAACCTAATGGCAAGTGAGATGATTGCACTCAACAGATCCTTACCAGATGTTAGGTTAGAAGGGTAAGTACCTAGTATGGTCTTGATAGTATCTGAATGGAAAATATGCTCTGATTTCCCAGGAAATTACACTTTAGCAGTGATTGTTCTTAAAGTGAATGTTGTATTACTAAGTTACTACTTATCCCACTTAGAAAATAATTAAATGCTGATAAAAATAATATCTCTAGCTACCAATGATCATTAGGACTGTGTATTTCAGGCACTGGAAGATAGTTGTTTATCTTAATAGGTTAGTAAGGGATTTTAAACTTCATTATTACCAAAATATTTATGTACTCAACTCTCAACAAAAAGATTCAGGTAATGTGTAAGTTGAAACAGTGAAATACACAGCATTATAATAAGAGCTTACTGGAATTTTACATGTGTAACCATCATCCAGATGGAGACATTTCCATCACCCCCTGAAAATTCCCTTATGTTCCTTTCCAGTCAGTACTCCTACCCCAGAGGCACTGTATTGACCTCTTTAAACATAAGATTAGTCTCTTTTTGATATAATCTGTTGTGCCTTTGAGATTCATACCAGTGCATAATCAGAAGTTTATTCTTTTCCACTGCAGCATACTGGTTTGTTATGTGAATATGCCGGTTTATTTATACATTGATAGACATTTGAATTGTTCCCACCTTTTGACTATTAGAAGTAAAGCAGTCACAGCATTCTTGTGTGTGTCTTTTGGAGGACTTACACTCCCATTGCTATTTGGTGTGTCTTAGGGAAAGGAGTAGATTATACGCTGAGGTAACTCTAGCATGTGCTGCCAGGTATTTTACACTCCTATCAGCGATATGAGAGGTTCATTTGCTCCATAAGAAGAGTGTACTGCAAGATATCTAGACTAGACTAAGCAAGGAAACTGTGCAGAAAGCAGGCAGATGAAGTGAGCATGTACATTCTGGCTGCCGAGTCCCCTAACTACCTTGTCCTGTATGGCTCCCATTGATGCTGGCAGACAGTCTTACCTCCTCCAGACAAGAGGTTGGATGGTCTTTCTCAGCAGAATTGGGTAGCCTTAGAGGGAAAAAAGTCTTCAGACATTGACTTTGGAGTGCCTGACACCCTTATGTCAACTTATAGTCAATAAGCCTCACTCGTGTATTCAGAATTCATATTCAGCCTTTTGGTCTTCCATTTGTAATGACAAACAGATAATCAAGGAATACTAGACATCACAGGAAGCTTTGAAACATAAAATGAAGTCCAAATCAAACAGAGAAAAAAGCAACTTGGAGGAAGCAAAGACTAGTAAGGAAGAAAACTTTAATAACCTCTGAAAAATAGAAAACATATTGCAACCATAAATCAAGAATAAAGTACTATTCAAAAGACACACTAAGAACCAGAAAAGGCTTTTTTTGTTTGTTTTTTTGAGACAGGATCTTGCTCTGTCACCCAGCCTGGAGTGCAGTGGTGCAATCGTAAATCATAGCCCAATTACAGCCTTGAACTCCTGGGCTCAAGTAATCCTCCCTCCTCAGCCTCCTAAGTAGCTGAGACTACAAGCATGTGCCACCATGCTCAGCTAATTTTTTAATTTTTTGTAGAGGTGGGGGTCTCGCTATGTTGTCCTGTAGTCTTGACCTCCTGGCTTCACGCGTTCCTCCCCACCTCAGTCTCCTAGTGCTGAAATTATAAATGTTAGCCACCATGCCTGGCCTTGGAAATTTAAAAAAACAAAAATGCAGTAGCAGGTTGTGTGGACATCTTTTATAAGAAATGTACCAAAGAGATGGACAGTAGTAAAATTATATGAAAATTGAAATGACTATCAAGAGGTCCAATATTTGAATAATAGGAGTCTCAAAAAGAACAAAAATCAAATTGGGGAAGGAAGAATTTATCTACAAAATTTTTCATGACTAGACTACACAATTTTTCAGGTTTAAAGAGCCCACTGATTTTTTAGAACAATAGATGAAAACCCCAAGACAGTAAATTTGAGAACACGAAGGATCCTCAGCCCTAAGGAAAAAAAGAGCCTCTTATAGGTTTCTTTAGAGGTGAAAGCAGATTATACCAAAGGACTGTTTCTTAGAATGTCTTTCATACTTCTTAGTAGCAATTCTGGAAGCATAGGAGCAAAATTCTAAAGGAAAATAATTTTCAACTATAAAATGCTACATTCAGCCAAACTTGTAATCAAGTATATAGGTTAAATAAGACATGAAAGATTTCCAGGGGTAACGTTTTAAAAAGTTGTTCAGAGAAAACAGAAGTAAACATAGTTTACTACATTACCTACCTAGCTGTGAACGAGTCATAATAAGGTAACTATCAAATATTGTGCATATAAAAATCACACTGAGGGGATGGAGAGTGTCTCTTTATCCAGCAAGTTGGTTAAATGAAGATCAGGTAAAAGAAGCTTACTTGTAATTGGGTTTTCACAAACTGTTTACTTTTCTAAACATTATAAGCATGGTTGAAGAAAGCTGCACTCTGTTCAGAGTCCACAGTTAACATGATGTCTGTATCGTAAACAGCCTTACACTTACTTTAAGAGCCTCAACTAGTGTTATTTCTGGCAGAGTTGTTTTGGTAATTTTTTGAACACATCACTACTAAGTACATCACTACTCTTAACACATTAACCGCTAATGTCTTTTTGTCTTTGATGTGGTTCCTGAAGATACTTCTATTAATGAGTGGCTGTTAAGTACATTGTAAGTCACTAATTATTGAACCTTGAACAACTTCATGATATTAAGAACAGTGTTTAAATTGTGTAATACAAATGCTTGTGCCCTAAGTTTCAAGCTTAATGAGGACTCACTCCTCAGACATGACAGTCCACTTTTGTGTAAGCTGCTAATACCCAGTTCCCTTTGGCTATCTTCTGTGTCTTTGGGACTGGGCTGCTCAGAAGGTAGCACGGAAGCATTACGGCCCCTGGGCAGCCTCTGTGCACCTTCATGCTCCATCTCTGTACTGATGTCCTATTTTTAAAAAAAGGTTTTAAAATACTGTTATTATGGAAAATTTCAAATGTATATAAAGTAGAGATAATAATGTAATGAGCCCTCATGTATTCTCTACCTGGTCTCAACAGGTCCTAACAGTTTTGTCCCACGCACTCATTGTACCCTCTAGGATGCTCCCAGCAGTCTCTGCGTCCTGGTTCACACCTCTCTGCAGCCTCTTTCCATGATGTTCTAGGGTTGGAACAATAGAACATGGTAAAAGAAATGGAGTGGCACTTTCAAGATTAGGTTATAAAACACACTGTGGCTTCCACGTTGATCCTTTACTGTCAGTGGGATCCCTTGCTCTGGGGTAAGCCAGCTGACAGTAGGAACAGCCCTATGGAGAAGTCTACATGGGTTTGTGGCCATTTATGAACAACCAGGTAAGTAAGACTAGAATTAGATTCTCCAGCCTCAGGCAAAGACATAGCATTTCTAAATACTTCAATATGAGTCTCTGAAAGATGAGGACTTATATAGAAAAAGAAAAATCATTATACTATTATAAGATCTTGGTTTTTGCTGGGCACAGGGGCTCACGCCTATAATCCCAGCACTTTGGGATGCCGAAGTGGGAGGACCGCTTGAGCCTGGGAGTTCGATGTTTCAGTGAGCCATGATCAGGCCACTGCACTCCAACCCAGGTGGAGAGTGAGGCCCCAACTCAAAAGAAAAAAAAAGATGTCAGTTCTTTCCCACAAAGATTTAATGCATTCCCAATCATAACCACATGTGTATGTGTGTAATTCGACAATTGATTCTCAAATGTGACTGGAAGTACAGAGTCCTGGAAGAACTAGACATTCTTGTTAGAAGAATTATCAAGAGTTCTTTGAAAACTACAGTAATTCAGATAATGTGATGTTGTTGCAAGGGGAGAGCTATAGAGAGCTCAAGCCAGTCCATACCTACTGGAAAACGTGGTTTAGGACACAGATGGCATTGCATGGGAGTAGGAAAAGGAGGATCTTCTAAAATAAATAAGTGGTGCTGGGTCAACCTGATATAATTAAGGATGGGGCTGGGCGTGGAGGCCTGTAATCCGAGTACTTTGGGAGGCTGATGGGGGAGGCTTGCTTGAGCCCAGCAGTTAGAGACCAACCTAGGCAACATAGCAAGACCTCATCTCTACAAAAAAATGTAAAAATAAACCAGTAGTGGTGGTACACACCTGTAGTCCCAGCTACTCGGGAGGCTGGATGAGGGGAGACTGAGGCAGAAGGATTGCCTGAGCGAAGGTCCAGACCGTGGTGAACTGTGATTATGCCTGGGCAACTGTGAGATTCCAACTCTAAATCAATAAATAAGGACAAAACTGAAACTGTACCTATGCCTCACACCATCAGAAAAATCAACTTAAAATGTATTACAGATATAAATGTAAAGGCAAAGCAGTAAAGCCCTGAAAGACCACATAGGAGAATATCATTGTAATCTTGGAGAAAGGAAAGACTTCTTAAACAGGACACAAACCAAATAAAATGAAGGAAACATTTGATAAACTGGACTACATTCTGTTTATTTTTAAAAAACAAAAGAAAATTACATTGGAAAGTCAAGTCACCACATAGAAGGTATTTGTGACTTTCATAACAAGCAAAGTGCTCATCCAAAAAAGAATTTCTACACATCAATCAGCAAAAGACAGTTCAACAGAAAAATGAGTGAGAGATTTCAGCATCACTTCACAAGAGATTATCCAAATGGCCATAAGCATATGACAGGGTGCTCAACCTCATTAGTAATTTATATAAGCAAAACCACAGTGACATACTATTTTATACTCTCATACACTATGGGATTGGAAATTGGTACAGCTACATTGAAAAACATGTCAATATCTACTGAAATGAACATTTACATACTTTATGGCCCAGCAGTTCCACTCCCAGGGATAGCTAACATATGCATCAGGAGACAAGGACAGAAATGTTTCTAGCAGTACTTCTTCAAACTGAAAACAATCTAAATGTCTGTCAACTGTAGAATATGGTATAGTCATACAACAGAATGCTTTACAGCAGTGAAAATTAACAAAAACTACAGACCACAACATGGATTAATCTCACCAACGTTATAATGAGCAAAGTAGTCACACAAGAATATATTATAGAATAATGCTGTTTGGAGGAAAGCAAAACAGGACTCTAATATTAAGTGTTAGAATAATGACTGGTCACCTTTGGGAGGAAAGAAATTGACAGGAAAAGGTGAAGAAAGAAGTTGACAGGAGCAGGGGTACTTGTGGGGCAGGGCGCCACATTTGGTGTTCAATTTTTTTTTCTTTTGTAAGCAGTATGTTTAATTGGATGATTTCCACAAACTATACAGGAAGTTTCTAACCATCACAATTCAGTGAAATACAAAACATTAAGTTACAGGCTGTGGGAAGAGAATGCAGCACCAAAGTGGTACCTTCCAATCCTGGTTGTTCTAGGGGCAGAGGGGGAAGGTCTTTTTTTAAACCAAGCCCCTCATTTCAATGTACAAAAGAATTACTCTGATCAGTATTAAATTGTATTGAAAACAAAATGAGCCAAAAAGCAAATAGTACTCTATGTTGGGGTGGAAATGGGAAGAAAGAATGAGTCCTTCAAAGCAGGGAGACAGCTGGAGGAGGTCCTGCGACTGTGACCCCAGGAGGTCACTCACACTGCTCCATTTTTACTTTCGGTGGTCTCAGGAAAGTCCGATTTTTCTTCTCTTTCTTCCCCTTCGTATTTGCTTGGAAATTTTGCCAGCTATCTACACGACCATCTCGACTTTTCTCAAAGTTTTCTGCCACTCTCTTTCTCGTTTGGCTTTTTCTTGAGCTTCGATCTCTTCTTTCCTTTGCCGCTTCCTTTCATGCATCTCTTTGGCTTCTCTCTCTTTCCTTTTAGTTTCTAGCTCAGCAAAGAGTTTCATGGTCTGTTTATATACTGCTTGTTTAAACAACTCAGGATCATCCTCCTCTACAACTGTAGATTTTCCTTCCTCCTTTAACTGTTTTTTCCGCTCTTTCACAGTGTGTTCCATGTATTCTTTTCCTGCATCAATTATATCCAGGGCCCTCTTCTTTTGTTCCTTATCCAGTAGCAACTCATAAGCTTTGTCCACAGCTTCAAAAGCTTTTTGTGCTCTGTCAGCATCATCTTGGTTTTTGTCAGGAAGCACCAATATGGATAACTGCCAGAACCTCTTTTTTATTTCTTCATCTGTAACTTCTGGATCCGTCTTAAGAACCTCAAATGGGTTCAAATTGAAGTAAGAGGAACTAGGACAGGTCAATCTTTCAATTTGATTTTTTGAAGTTAGAACTGAATCTCTCTTTTCTATTTGTTTCACCTCACTGTAGAAGGTCATAAATGCCTCCTCTGTGCTGCCTCTGCCGCCCTAAGTCCCTCTCTCTCCTGAAGCCACCATTTCCCCGGCCCTGCCAGCACGTGACCCCTGTTTTTTTCACTGAATGGTGGTTACACAAGTGTTTGCTGTGTGATAATTCATTCAGTTCAGATTTATGTGCACTCTGTGTTGCACTTCATAATGAATTCAGTTTGAAAATGCATGGGAGGTGAAGCTGTGGAGGCAGTGGTATGGCATTGCCTCTGAGGTGAGGCTGCTGGGAGGAGAAAGGGATGAAGTGTTAGCTGGGGAGATTGTGCCGACAAGGGAGATGGCTTCCTCCTTTTTAAGATGTGTATAGTACAGTATGTTTGTATGTTACTGGGAATGATCCAGTTGAGAGGGGAGTATTATAGCAAGAGCCTTGAACTTGAGTAGATGAGAAAGGATGTCATTGGCTTTGGACAGGAACAGGGATAATGCAGGCATTGTGTAGCAGGAAAAGACCCAGTATTCATGATCACAGATGCATACCAGATGGTAAATGTGTTGATGGGAGTATGGAAATTCTCATCTGAAGGCTTTTAGTTTTTCAGTGAAATTGGAAACAAGATTAACACCTGTGGTTGAGGAGGGTGGGCAAGGTATTGGAAATCTGTCGGGATGTGAAAGTTTGAAAGAATTGATTAAGAAATGCAGTAGTGATACTGGATAGTGCTGAGAGCCTTCTTGAGGCTTGCAGTTGTAAATTTAAAATGAGGTTATTCAGTATGGTCATATGTTTTCTTTAGCCGCATTCAGCAGCTTAGATACAGATGCAAAATCAGTGGAAAGTTGGATGTAGTGAGGGTGGGCATTTTGCCGGGTGAGTATAATAGAAAAAGAGGGAAATACAAAGCAGTGATTATAATAGAGGCATGGATCTAGGTAGATCCGCTAGAGTAGGTAACAGGAAGTGAAAAGATGAAGGGTAGAGATTTGAGGTCCCAGTGAAGCTAAAGATCTAGGATTATTGGAGTGAGTGAGTTAGAACAAGCCAGGGCTGTGGTGGGAGGGGTTAGAGAGTAGGTGAGGAATCATGACCAGAGATTGGGAAGCTTGATATAGAAATTATCATCAATGAAGTGTCATGGTCTGGGGGGTAGCATAATTAAGTGGATGAAATATGAGGTGGTCTAGGAGTATAGCGTGAAAGCTTGTGGGCGAAGGACAGTTTTATTGAAAGAGAGAACAGAGCAAACCCTGAGAAGACAGGAAATTGATAAATTGACTACATGAATGACCAAGATTATGGTAGGAGTAATGATGAAATTGATGGGGAAGGTGCAGGTGACTATAACAAGGAACAGTGGAAACTTCTGATAGTATGTTGTTCAAAGGACCTGTAGCGTTTTAGGGAAGAGGGAGAAACAGTGGTCTTGAAGCGATGATGAGGCGTAAAAACAAGGAAGATGCCTGCCCTTACCCCCAGACTCAGTCGAACATGGGATGTGGAAAAAAAGCCAGTTTCTTATTGAGGGACTACTCAGGAAGCAGTATTCTTGGTGATGTTTTAATTAGTGCTAGAATATGAGGGGGATGTTCAGAAAAGAAATTATGAATATAAAAGGGTTTTACTGATGATTGTTACCGTGAATTCCAAAGAGCACAGTGAATTGTTTTAGCAGTCAGGAACTTTAACCAAATAGCAATTAGAGTTTGGTAGTTTACAGTGACTTAGTACCTGGGTCTTTTGTTATTGTTCATAGTATTGTCTTCTGTAGCTTAAGATTTTATAATGTTTTTATAATGAATATATAATGTTTATAATGTTTTGGACAATTATGTCTCTTGTCATTTCCTATATTGTGTTACTTTCCTCTTTTTTTTCTGTGAACAGTCTTGCTAATGGTTTTAATTTTTTTGGAAGAAAAGATAACTTTTCCTTTTGTTTATTCATTTTTAAAATTATTTATTAATTTACTTTTTGTAGAGATGAGGTCTTGCTATGTTGCCCAGACTGGTCTGGAACTCCTGAGCTCAAGCAGTCCTCCAACCTTGACCTCCCAAAGTGCTAGGATTATAGGCATGAGCCACCACACTTGGCACCAATTTCTTTAAAATTTGTTTTATATGTAATTATATTTTCATCTTTTTTTTAATCTGTTGTTTTCTTCTTTAAATACATAACCTATTGAAAATATTGTTTTTTAATACATTCATTAAAGACTCTACATTTACATCTGGGCATCATTTTAGTTTCTCCTGCTATTTTTATATGTAGTGCTTTCATCCTTATTTAACTGTTTGTAATTCCCATTTGATTTCTGTTTATTCCAGAATGACTTGGAAGTACATTTTTAAAAGTTTCTGTGTACATTTCTTTTTGCCTTTTGATTTTTTATTATTTATTTTTAGATTGCTTTCATCATAGGCAGAAAACATGATCTGTATGTGAATTAGATCTATTTGAAATGTGTTGAAACTTGGATTATTCTGACCTAGAAAGAATAGGTTTTCGAATATATTTCCTCTGTACTCAAAAATAGAATTATTTGGTTGCCTGCTGCTTCTGTTTTCTGTTTTAGTGTACATGATCTGTTGGATCCTGATTAAGTTATATGCATGTTTTAAAATCTCCCACTATGATTGTAGATTTGACAGTTTCTCTTACTCATTTGGTTAGTTTATTTTTGAAGACTGCATCATTGGATGTATTTAAAACAATTCATAGTATATTGTTACTTTTTTTAAATGCAGTGTTTGCTGTATCATTGTTATTCTTAATTTACTCTCATCTTTGCTTTTTAATAGATGAGTTTGATATGTATCTATATTTATTGTGACTATTGATATATCTTAACTTCTTTTAGGTTGAACCATGTGAAGTTGATATTCAACCATTTTTGACTTATGAAAATGACAATTTCATAAAGTCTAACACAGTAAATCTTGTTTTCTGTCCACTATCATTTTAATTTTTTTCTTTTCCTGCTTTGCTAGTCGATACAGTTTCAGCTGATAATGTTTAGCATTCATGTTTCTCTCTATCTCAGTTTGGAAGCTGGACATCTTATTTTTGTTCCCTTAGTAGTAAGACCTGGGCATGTTGTAATTGTCTGCCAAGGTGTGGATTTATCTTTACTATCTACATGCTCCGTGCACATTGTGTACTTTAGATCTGAACACTCATATTGCCCTTCAATTCTGGGACATATCTTACTGTAATCTCAATATGCTACTTCACCATTCCCTCCAGTCTGTTCTTTGGGAGCAACTTTTATGCATGTGCTAGAGCCTCTCAAGCTATACTCATTTCCCCCGTGATTCTTTTCAAATTGTCTCTGGGTAGATTTCTCATTAATATCTTAATAGTAGGTAAATTTATCCATTTTTGCTATTTACTGACTTTGTGATTTTAGACAAGTTACCTGACTTTTCTATCCCTCGGGATCCTTATCTGTAAAATAAAGAAAATAGCTAGGATGTTATGAGGCTGTGTAAAGTGCTTTGAACACTTGCTGGCACCTGGGATATAGAGAAGGGCTCTGTTAGGGAGTGAGTGCCAGGTCCCTCTTAGTGCTTAGGAGAAGCTGACTTCATGGACTTTTCCTCCCCCACTTCTTTTTAACTGTTCAGTGCCTGACTTCTAAAGTGGATTCACAATGAAATGTTAAGTGAGAAATATCAGATTGGTATTTAACAATCCCCACACCATGTGGGACAAGCCAGCCAAGCTTTTACTTTCCATACCTTCTTTCCAAGGTAAATTAGTAGTGTGAAATGGCCCCTAGAGTGCTGCTTTTTCACCACCTTTTTTGAATACAGAAAAGCCTTGCTTATGTTCTAATTATGGCTTCACTGGTGGTGTTGCTGGCTGTCTCCAGATCATCCTGTGTCTGCCAGGAAATTTTACTGCTTTATAGGGCCTCCAAAGACACCTTTCCTGAAGGACACTGGAGGGAAGAATCACATTATTCAACTGTTAAGAGTTAAATAGAAATAACAGTCACTGAATACATTTTGTAATGTGTGATCTTAGGGAAGGAGGTTTAAGACCAATTCCAAGTCATCCAGTATGCCAAATTCATCCTATGTAATTGTCTTAGTTTTTTGTTTTTTTGTTTTTAGTTGGGTCTTACTCTGTTGCCTAGGCTGTAGTTCAGTGGCACAATCATGGCTCAACACAGCCTCGACCTCCTGGGCTCAGGCAATCCTTCTGCTTCAGCCTGCTGAGTAGCCAGGACTACACACACGCCACCACACTCAGCAAATTTTTTATTTTTTATAGAGATGAGGTCTCGCTATGTTGTTCAGGTTGGTCTTGAACTCCTAGGCACAAGTGATCCTCTTGCCTTGGCCTCTCAAAGTGCTGGGATTACAGGTGTGAGCCACCATGACTGGCAGTCTTAGATATTTAAAACGTGCTTATAATATCATTTATTGAGTGTGTATTTTGTTGAAGCACTATACACATTGTCATTTTAAACAGTTGGGCAAAATGGTGGTAGTAGTAGTAGTATTCTCAGTTTACAAAGGGGGAAACTCAGACTTAAACAAGTTAAATGACTTGTCAAGATATAGTTAGTAAGTGACCCAGGTAAGATTTGAACCTTGGTCTCAGTGACAGAACATGAGCTATTAATCTCTGTGCTTTGCCAGAGAAATGAGGAAACAGTTTTTATTTTCATTTAACTTTTTAGCCTTTTTTTTTAAGCTTTGGAGAGTTGTTTGATTCTTTAAGCTATGTACATGTATACTTTAATCAAACTAAAAATATAGAAAGTTGCTCAGGTAATTCTTATCTCTCTACAAACATCCTACCCCCCATGAGACTCACTGCTCCAACCTAGTGCTTCTCAGACTTGCTGGGGTATAAGAGGAGGGAAATGGGGGGGGGGCAGGTTTTTTTCTACTCTTTGGGACACCCCTTTCTCATTCCTCAGAGTCAAAAAAGGGGCTTCTCTATGCCTCCAGTGCACATGTGCACTTTTTAGATTGCTTTTGAGTATAGGCTGGCTAGTGCCAAAGGGGAGAAATCGCCAACTCACCATGAATTCAGAAGAACTTAGAATTCTGGTCTCCTTCTCTAGTCAGCCTGCTTTCATTTATGTTTCTGAGTCTGC